AAGAGAGAGCAGGGGAGGGGCAGAAAAAGAGAGGGAGAGTGAGAATCCCAAGCAGGGTCTGTACTGTGGGCACAGAGCCCCATGCGGGGCTCGAACTCATGAGCTATTAGATCATGACCTGAGCCCAAATCAAGATGCTTAACCCACTGAGCCACCTAGGCACCTTTGGGACATTTAATAACAGCTTCAATGACACCAGAAGCCATCACCACCATCAACTTGATGGTCAGTAATGGTTTTTATTAACAGACTCAGAGGATTAACTTTTATTAAAGGTTATTTGGTGGGGGGGATGCCTGGGTGGCTCAGTCGGTTAAGCGTCCGACTTCGGCTCAGGTCATGATCTCACGGTTCGTGGGTTCGAGCCCCGTGTCAGGCTCTGTGCTGACAGCTCGGAGCCTGGAGCCTGCTTCAGATTCTATGTCTCCCTTGCCCTCTGCCCGCCCCCCCCACTCACTCTCTGTCCCCCTCTGTCTCAAAAATAAATAAACATTAAAAAAAATTAAAAACAAAAAAAGTTATTTAGGGGCACCTGGGTGGCTCAGTCGGTGAAGCGTCAGACCTCAGCTCCTCTCTCTCTCTGTCCCTCTCTCTCTGCCCTGCCTCCATTTGTGTGTGCTCTCTCCCTGCCTCTCAAAACAAACAAGTAAACAGTTTTTAAAAGGTTATTTAATAAAAGAACGGATTATTTCTTGTTATTGAAGGCTAATAATTGTTACCAAAAGATGAATATTATTTATTAGAGGACAGATTTTTTTATTTACCAAAAATCATAAGTGCTTATTTGTGCCATCTACCCAGGGCCAAACTCAGAGCCATAACAACGCAACAGGGATGCACTGTTTTCAGTTTCCTCTGATTCCAGATTTTTCTGTGAAATGGAGTGACCCCGAGTCATCACCACTATCAGCAAACACTTCTGTTGATGAGGGGCGCCACCCTTCACCCTTGTAGGTATTGATACTTGAAGTCAGAAGGGAACGTTCAGGTTATGTCCTTTCATGAGAACAAATAATAAGAATCAGCTGCAGCCGCTCGCCACGTTGTGCTTTGAGACAAGTCCTCCCCAAGGGAGTCAGATGTGATCGCGCTCACCCTGCCCGCGGCACACACACAGTGTGCTGAGGGCTCTTAACCCATGTCTCTCGCTGTGGTTCCCAAGATGACACCATTGCCTAAACAGACATACTTTCTTCCCTCCGGCTCCCCTCCTGCGTGCCTGCAGCCTCTTCTCTGTGTCCTTTCCTGGATCCCTCCTTACCTGGCCCTTCGGGCTGCTGGGCTCACTTGCTGAGCCTCTCCCGTCATACCCTATAGACTCTCCCTGGGTGGGCTTGTCCAACCCCCTCATTCAGTATGACCACATGGTAGTGGCACCAAACCTCTGGCTCTGACTTGGACAGCTCCCCGGGACATCGGACCCTGCCGCCCACAGCTCAGATGGCTCCCCGCATATCAGACTCTGTTGCCCACAGTTCAGACTGCTCCCCAGGACATCTGACCCTGTCGCCCACAACTTGGATGGCTCCCCGGATATCGGACTCTGTTGCCCACAGCTCAGACAGCTCCCCAGGACATCGGGCCCTGCCGCCCACAGCTCGGACAGCTCCCCAGGACATCAGACCCTGTCGCCCACAGCTTGGATGGCTCCCCGGATATCAGACTCTGTTGCCCACAGCTCAGACAGCTCCCCAGGACATAGACCCTGTCACCCACAGCTCAGACGGCTCCCCGGGACATCATCTTGTCACCCACAGCTCGGATGGCGCCCCAGGACATTGGACCCCGTTGCCCACAGCTCGGATGGCTCCCCAAGACATCGGACCCTGTCGCCCACAGCTCTGTATGTCTGCAGCCAGGCCTCTCATGGAGGCACACCCACCCCAGCCGCCCTGAAGCAGCGATCAGACCCTGCTCTGGTATTCCCAGTCCTTTAAGCCAAAACACTGGATGGTTTACCCCGCGCTGCTCATCTTGTATGTTCCCTGCACCGGTCCCTTTTACATGTTATATGTACTATACTCTGTGTTCTTATAATTAAGTAATCTGGGGAAAAGAAAATGGTATTAAGAAAATCATAAGCAAGAGGGGCGCCTGGGTGGCTTGGTCAGTTAAGCGTCCCACTCTTGATCTCGGCTCACGTCGGGGTCTCGCAGTTTGTGAGATGGAGAACTGAGTCGGGCTCTGCGCTGGCAGTGTGGAGCCCGCTTGGGATTCTCTCTCTCCCTCTCTTTCTGCCCCTCCCCTACTCGTGTTCATGCTCTCTCTCAAAATAAATAAACTTTTAAAAAAAGGAAGAGAAAACACAGTTACAGTACTGTACGGTGTTTATCGACAAAATCTGCATGTACGTGAACTCCTGCAGTTCAAACCCATGTTGTTCAAAGGTCCGCATATATACATATCCAAAGGATGCACATCAGCATCTCCGATTTCAATCCGATGCCACTGACTTAGTTTCGTCTTCTTCCTCGCCATATTTCTAACTCCCTTCTCTGACGGTGAGAAACTTGGCCCCCATTATCCCCCATGTATTTATTTATTTGATCCACCCACCTGTAGGTAAATCACCTCTGTGTCTGCCACTGCCCAGCCCCATCCCCACACGGCCGCTCCCCCCACTTTGTCGGCTCTTTCACCTCCCGTCAGGCCACCGCTGCCGCTGCCCTCTGCCCTGGACACACTCCTCCCCCAGCAGAAGCCCTGACCCTGGTGCCAGTCCCCGCCACCCCCATGCAGAGGGGTGCACCTCCTTGCACCCCCCCATGTCGCCACCCCCCTCACCCTGGCTGGGCTGTCCCGCTAAGCTCATAGCTCACCCTCTCAGGCCCCAACGCCTCGCACAAGCCACGGCGAGCCAGGCTGATCACAGTAGAGGGCACCACCTCCCCCTTGCAAAAATCAAAAGAACTACAGGCAATTTGGCGTCTGAGTGCAAAAGAGATGTTTGAAAAGAGAAGTTTGACGGTGTTCAGGTTACCCTGCAGAGATGACTGTCTATTCCCCCTCTGCTGAGGCTGCACTGCCTCAGAGCCCCATTTTCCAAGTGACCGCTAGATTCAGGTCCTACAGAAAGCAGTCTGGCCCCTCTGAGCTTCGGTTGCTTCGCATAATTGGCATTTTCATGTATCTCTGGAAGGCTAGGGTGTAAGGAAACCTAGATATTGAAAAGCACTTTGCCGATAATGAGTCTCGTGGAAATGCCAAATTGAGATAGAGAATCCACAAGCAGCGAAAACAAGCATGGTGGTTTCCATAGCCGTTTAAGGATGTGGGCTTTGCAGAGCCCGTGTCCCGGTGGGTCTCCTGGAAAATTGCTACCGGTGTTTCCCTCCCAACAAAAGTGAGAGGAAGAGATGGGCAGTGGGGTGATAGACGAGCAAGGAGAATCAAAGAAGGCAGAGAGTTGTGGACTTTCTTCAGCTTCATTGGGGCATAAGGCAAAGAGTTTTAAATGCTATACAATTTGCTCGCCAAAGTTTTCTCTAGAGTCCTAAGAAGCAAACATGCCCTTCCACGTTCCCATTCAATGGCCACAGTCCTCCTGTGGTCCTGCATTCCCAGCCTGCCCCATCGCTCTTCGAGGAAGGAAGAAAGGGAGGGAGGGAAGGGGGAAGGAAGGAAAAAAAGGACGGAGGAAGGAAGGGAGGGAGGGAGGGAGGAAAGGGAGGGAGGGATTAAGGGAGGAAGGGAGGGAGGAAGGAAAAGGAAAAAGAGAAAAACCAACAAAACCAGGGCTCCACAGGAGGTCATCTGAAACCTTATTTTGTTCCTCCGCAACCAAAAAGAGAGGCCTGACCCTAGGCTGGCCCTCCCGGGTACGCAGCTCCCGAGGAAAGGGCAAATTCTTCCTTCTGTGTGTGTGCAGTGAACTGGACAAACAGAAACCTATTTGTGAGACGGAATTTCCATGGCAGGTACGGGATCTGATGGGAATGTGCAGGGCAGGGACATCTGTCCTGGTATTAAACGCCTCGTTTCCAGCTTCCTACCACCTGAGCCATCTGCACAGAGAAGCAAAAACTTTTTGCTCCCTTCCCATTATACGTACAGCAGGAGCCCCTTACAACACCGGTCTCAGGGGAGGGGGTGTGGGGCGGGGGGGGAGGGGGTTGGGGGGTCTCGTCCCCTAGAAGACTTTTGGCAGGTCTGCAGTATTGGTCTCCAGTGGTTGAGACCAAGGATGCCTCTCAACACCCCACAATGCCCAGAACGGCTCCCGCAACAAAGAATGATCTGGTCCAGATGTCGTGGTGCCAGGTTGAGAAAGCTCTGGAGGCAGGCTCGTTAACCACCTTCTCGCTGCTGCTTACGAAGCAACTGAACAACATCCTATACATAGTTTCCCTAAATGCCCCCCACCCCTGCCTGGGAAATAGTGCCAAGATACATCGAAGATGAGACGGAACAGGAGATGGCTTTCAGGGCCGCCTTGCCACCCCTGGATGGCACGTGTGAGTTTCACAAGGAGCAGAAGCAGGTACTAATTCTGGTGACCGTTAAGGAAAGGCAAAAGAAAGAAAAAAAAAAAAAAATCAATCCAGCTTTGCCTCTGGCCATGTCCAACTGCTTCCAGCCCGGTGACTTCCCCAGAGGAATCAAATATAGTAACAACCCTTTCAGACCCCGACCCTTCTAGCATTCAGAGCAACACACGAAACGACCTCGAACCCTTCCAAGCCCGCACCGGATTCGCGAATCGACCCCGAGAGCCTCGCCCCCACCACGAGTCCGAAAGAAAACGCCAACACGGAAGTTTCAACCCAGGAGTTGCAAACCAATGTCTGTGGACAGTTCGCCCAGCGAAGAAGCAAGTTTTCGAAAACAAAGGCAGGAAGGGGGATACAGAGGTGTCTGTCACCACCCACCGAATATCCAACCCCCTGTAAAAACGACCGGCACGCAAAGAGTCCCCGGGGAGGTCGCTTTTCAAAGAGGGAACATCTTAACTCTGGTCGCCGAGGGCAGCTGAGCAGTTAAAACCCGGGGTGCAGACTCACTAGTTCCATTTGCTCAGGGAGGGTCAGAGGTGGCAGCGGGGACGCTGTCCGTTCGCATCCTGGGGCCCTGGGGCCCAGCCTGCGGGGTCTCCGGTCCCCACAGCTCCAAGGATGGCTTCAGCCTCCCTTCTCTGGAGAAATCAGAGCCGCTCTCCCACTGCTGAAAATATTTGAGATGTGCCAAGCAGATGGTCCCACGCTTATCAGCAGAAGCCGCACTTCAAATGGCATCGTTCAGTGAAGCACTCGAGTGAAAATCTTCACGCTGCTCCAGAGTGGGAACGAGAGCTGGTGGTGATGTGGGGTGGCTGACCCCCTGGGACCGTGAGGGCCAGCCAGGGCCGAGGGGAAAGGGGACCCGGAGAAACGTCCCGTGGAAGGGCACAATCACACATGTCGCCGGAACACAGGACCACTTAAGTCCCTGACGGCCGGTCTCTGCAAAGCCCTTTGAGACTCCATTTGCTCGCCTGGGAAATGGAGCCAATTGTATTACCACAAAGAGTTGCAATGAGTAAGTAAGATGTGGATATAGACCTGCACGGTGGGAGACACCCCGTTCAATAAGTAAACATCCGCTCCCTGCCTGCAGCGCATTTCCAGGGTCATGAGCCCGTGCCAGGGTGTGAGCACGACGCAGTGGAGACAGGGAGCCCAGGAGCCCAGCCGTGGAGTCCCTGGAGGGACATGGGAGCCCAGACAGCTTCTCCGCCCGGTTCGGAGACTAACCCGTTATGTGCGTTCTCACCCCTGCGATCAAGTTCCGTTCCCCCTGACCCCTGTTCTCTTCCCAACGGCCCCGGTGTAAAGGCCCAGAGGCCAAGCGGGAAAATTCTGGATAGTTTGACTCGCCAAGCCCTCCGGCGAAGACCCACCCTCCACTCGTGGCAGTGTCTCTTCCTTGTCAAAAGCATCCCTCCGTGGTTACTGTGTCAGAGTAGTAATGGACCCGCGGGACCCATGAGATCAAAACAGGGCGAGAAGGCGATTTCAGATCCTGCGGGGAAGCAGACTCAGGAGCCCAGATACGAAGCTTTCCTCCAACTGCTTTCATAAGCAGCAGGACCCGAGTGAGCCGCACGGCTGGGGCTGGCGGGGGACGGCCCGATCTGTGGTCTGGCCTCCCGGCGGGAAGAAGAAAGGAAGAGACCGGGAGCCTTCCCTCGGGACCTCAAGCCACAGGCAAAATAAGGTGAGGTTCGGGGCACCCGTCGGGCGGCAGAGCAAGACCTCAGGTGAGCTGCGTGCCAGGGGAGTCGGACGTGCACTCGCATTACCTGGTTCCGATGTCCCAAAGGAGGAGAGGGTCGGGGTCCTGGAGGACTTTACATTTCCCAGAGGCTAATCAGAAACCGGGGTTTCCTAACGCGAACTGCGAGGCAGAGAAGAAGAAGCAGTCAGTGGGAAGGGGCCGGGCACATGCCAGCAAAGACAGGTAGGAGAGCAATACCGGGCCGCTGCGAGGGCTGCAAAGTCACGGTCGGGGAGGAAAGAGACAGCCGAAGGACAGGAGGGATGCAGGAGAGCGGGGCGGGGGGGGGGGGGGGGGCAGAGTGATCCACTCTGCTCCTCTGTCCCACATCCGCTGCTTCTCAGCAGCTCAGGGACTGTCCAGATTTTATGCACGTTTCACCCTGTCCCTTTGGGGGCTGTGAAAACCCTGAGCTGAGTGACCAACTGGAAGGAGACTCCAACGTCATTATTATTTAAGTCAACAGAACAGAGGGCCTCACCGGTTTGCTTTTCCCAGCTCCTAGCAGGACACAGGAGTCTACCCATCCTGACAGAGAACAAGTCGCCCAATTTGTAAACTGGTGAGAGTCACCAGGCGAATGAGGAACGAGCCACCGGGACGGTGGAGAGGCCAGGTGGTGCCCAGGTGAGGGCAGAGGGTCCAGAGAAGCAGCCGGCGAGGCAGGGGGAGCCCGGCGGAGATGGGGCTCTCTTCCCCCCACCCCCCCCCCCCGACCGAGTGGGCGGGAGGAGGCGCGGATTGTTTTGTGACTAATCGGCACCACTAACAAAAGCAGAAACTACCACAGGTGGAGGCTGGGTTTCATTTGGGGTAGATAATGATTTCTACTTAGAGAAAATACGGCAACTCTCTGTAAAAATAAAACTGCTTGCATTTAAGCCACAAATAGGTTGGCTATTTCTGTGCCTGGCTTGTCTTTGTGAGTAATCATCCTCCTCTTGAGAGGTAGGGAGAGTTTGGAGGAGGGAGGTGTAGAGAGAACGGGTGACAGAGCCAGGAGCCTAGGGAAAATGAAGTCTGCGGTCCCCAGTGCCCAGCGTGGAAGGAAGTTCTAGCTTTCGCCTCCACGAGGTGAAACCACGTCCCTCTTTCTCCCAACAAACAACAGGGAAACGTGCTGGAGGAGGCCTGGGGATGAGAATTATAAGAGCAAGGATGGTGGAATTTAGCAACCCAGAAGGCCATAGAGTGGGCCCATAAGAGGGAAAGCCCATAAGTGGTACAACCCATGAGCGGTAGAATCCATAAATAGACCCAAAGTGCATTTGCTCGAGCTCCAAAACCTCTCAATGCCGTGAAGACCCTACCCAGCACCAAACCCAGGGATACCCGGTGAATTCCACTCACATCCAAGAATGTGTTCCTCTTCTGGAAGGGACTCTGCCTCGCCCTGGATGTTGAGCTCATGGTGATGGGGAGATAGCCACCAAGTGCTTCCCCAAAGCCCAGCGCTCCCCTTGGTGTTAGCAAGATGCAAGAGGGAGTCCGGGTAGCTCAGTCAGTAAGCATGTGACTCCAGGTCAGATCTTACAGTTCGTGAGTTCGAGTCCCGTGTCAGGTGAGCTAGGGCCCTGGATGAGCCCCGCCTCTCTCTGTCTCTCTCTCTATTTCTCTGCCCCTGGCTCACTTGTGCCTTCTCGAAAGAAAGAAAGAAAGAAAGAAAGAAAGAAAGAATAAGAGGTAGGAAACAAGAGAGCAGGTTCTCTCACACTGAGAGTAGCTGGGGGGTGGGGCTGGTCAGAGGACTCATTTTCACAGGGAGACGACAGACCTCAGAGTCTGGGCTGGAAACAGCAGATCTCAGAGTGGCAGACAACTAATTTTGTACAAAGTGTCTGGGCTCACCATTTGGGAGAAGAGCAACTTCAGAGATGCTAGAGATTGGGACTTGCAAACTTGACTGGAGTGATTCTTTGCCCCATCTGATGGACAGGGTCTCAGAACAGGGCTGGTCCCGCCCTCTGCCCTCCAGTCCTGCAAAGGAGACTTCAGATCTCACTGGCCAGATAAAAACCCAAGATAAAACCCTGAGAACAGAACTCTCCCAGGCTGATCTGAGTCCCATCAGCCTTGGGGAATCTTCTCCAGGCTTCCCCTAGCCCGCCCTGTCTGGGACTGGTTGGGTCTCTCCCAAGTAATGATCTTTACTTTCAGCACACATATCCTAAACATCGAATCTTAAAGAGAAATGGCATGTTTCTCCCCCCATGTCATTTGTTTTCCTTCAGGTAGACAGGCCCACGCGGTGGGGCAGAAACCACAGCAGGTGTGACAACAGGGGGAAGCAAACCCACGAGGAAGTGACAGAAGCCGCCCTCCTGGGTGAACCCTGGGAGGACTAGGCCCAGCTGTGGGAAGCTAGGTCCCCAGGCCTGAGTCCTCTCAGACTTCCCACTGTATTTGGAACGTGCCAGAAAGGAGACTCCCCCCCACCCACCCTCTGCACGAGCTCCTTTGCAGAATGACGAGGAGATGTGAAGGACACAGGATGAGGCTGCCGAGGGGCCTCGGGGACACTCATGTGTGACGCTCGTCCGCGTAGACACAAGCATCAGGCAGGTTCCCTAATTGGCACACATGGAATATCTCCTCGTCCTCCGAATCAGCACCTAATTGGCTGCGTAGACGCTTTGCCCTCTAGACCCTTACCTAGATTGCAATCATGTGCTCTCCCTTGTCCAAACATCATAAAAAAAAATCCAGTTGTGAGAAAGAACATTTTTGGAGCATTGCCTTGGGACATGGAGTCTATCCACTCCTCTAGATGTTCTAAATATTACCCTGGGTTTAGCCCTGCATACTTGGCCAGCATTGTTTTGGCCCTTCGTAAAACTGTAATTTCTAAATTATCCTTTGGAGATACTCATCAGCTAGCATTTAGAATCTCTACCAAAGGAAAAAAAGAGAGAGAGAGAGAGACATAAAAAGATCAAAACTGTGTTCATGTAGGAATTGGGTAGCGCCCTTCCCATCAGACCCAGAGTCTCCTTCTGGAGATTTCTGCTACAGGGGTGGCTGAGTTTCTCCTAAGCAGTAGCCAGCTTGTTTAGGTCAATAAAATACCATCAAGTGTAGAATTGGGGTTTTTTTTCTTCTTTTCCTGACAGAAATCCTGAAGATACATATCTGACCTGCCTTTGCAAGTGGACTACAGGGCTACTTAAAAGAAAAAGGTTTGAAATCACTCATTTAGTCAAAGGTCCATCTGGGCACCATTAAACTTATGTTCATGATCCTTTTTCTGCCTCTGACTGTGGATTTTGACAATGTTTTTTCAAACCGACTCCATCCTGAAGGAGAATTAAACCAGTCAGTCACTTCCAAGGGACAGTTACTTGGGTATTGGGACTCCCACAAGCAGCTAGCTTAAATAGCAATGACCAGAGGGGCGCCTGGGTGGCTCAGTTAAGCATCCGACTTCGGCTCAGGTCATGATCTCACGGTTCGTGAGTTTGAGCCCCACATGCTGACAGCCCAGAGCCTGGAGCCTGTTTTGGATTCTGTGTCTCCCTCGCTCTCTGCCCCTCCTCCGCTCCCTCTCCGTCTCTCTCTCTGTGTGTCTCTCTCTCTCTCTCAAAACTGAATAAACATTTAAAAAAATAAAAAATGAATCGCAGTGACTGGATCCGTGCAGAAAAGAGTTCTCTAAATTCTATGGTAGCACCTATTAAATTGTATTTTTAGAGTTACTTGTTTATGTGTCCGTCTGCCCCACGAAACGTAGCTCCATTAGCAGAGGCAATGCCTTCCTCATTTAGTATTAGCTGAGCAGAAGGACAAATGGAATAAGTCAACTATATTTAGAATCGCTATCACAGTTTTAAATATTGGTTGTTTTATGATTCTGTTATAATTGTTGTAAAAGTGTCTTAGAATGTCTCGAGCATTCGTCTAATTTCCCCAGTGAGGCTGCAAGCCCTTGGGGAAGGAACCAGGTCTGTACTTCCTCGGGCGGCCCGTATGGGGCTGAGAGCCCTCGACGGGACCGTTGACGGGTATCGGGCTCCGTGCGACGTGCAGTGAAGCGGGTGGAGCCCAGGTCGATATTGGGCCGGAACCGTCCGTCTCGTTGATTATCACGGCACCTAGCAAACCCTTCGCCAGAGTCTAAGGCAACACCGCACTGATGGCTCACGTTGGTTTGGGGTATGTGTGGGGTGGGCCATCTACCTGTCACGTTGTAGAGGATGAGGATTTGTGAGCTCTCTTTTGTAAAAACCAGGGTGTCTTCCCGTGGCCTAACGTGCACTTACCAGACAGTGGCAGTGGCAGATTACAGAGGTGAAAAGGCAGACCCGCTTCAGTTGTCTGAGAACAATCTGGACAACACCCGAATTCCACACCCTCTACAGGGCTCGTTAGTGGTGCTTCAATGTCCATACATTGCCCCAAAGAGGGACACTCAGCATCTGCAGCCAAGAAAATAATAGTTAAATATTTCTGGCATCTGTAGCTACTCTAGAGTTGCCTGGCTGTCCCACGTTATAAAAACTGTATCAGACAAAAACAAAAATGTCCAACCCACGGACAGTGTAAATAGACAAAGTAAATAAAATCACCTTTCTTAATTTTGCCCCAACTTTAGTCATTACTCAGGCTAAAGAGGAAAGTGCAGTCAACATCCAGTGGTTCAGACTTGACCCCGGGTGCGTGGGCTCCACGTCCTGGACCCGTGCTTTCCTCATCCTGCAGACCCTTCACCATATAAAGGTGAGCCAGAGAAACAAGAGAGGGGTGAGCCCACCACACTCTTACGAGAACGTGCTGGAAAGGGAGGTTGTACTATGGGCCAAAAAGAGATTGAGGGATTTTTAATACGTTCCATTGAATATTCTCTCCCTGCGCTCTGACGACAAGGACATATTGGATCACCTCTGGTCACTATCCCTGAGTCCGAAGATTCAGGAGCGAAGGGAGGGGTACGGAAGTGGCTCCTCAGTGCTGAGAGGAAAGGTGTGGACAGTGAAGGAAGAGGAAGGTCTCCAAACACAAGGCAAAGATGAGTGACCCCTGAGAAGTGCACTTCCATCTTCAAGGAGAGGTCAGGGGTACCGGGCAAAGACCTACTGATCTGGGTCAAACTCAGTCCAGCCTAGGTTAATGTCGTCACTAATCTGTGTTACATTCAAACCCCTTAAATAGTGCCGATACCCCGGAATTGTAAAAGGAATAACCTGAAGTGAAAGTTCTAGAAAGTTCTAGGATCAGAGGTCTTTCCTCACCAACTCTACAGACACAGATCCTCTGATCCTGCGTTCCTCCGCACCTGGGTGTGCAGTCTTGACGAGAGGCCGCGCCA